TAATGATTTATGGCTTTTTGTTAGAAATTACAAAAGGAGCAATTGCATCACTATGATGCAACTTCGCGGGCCCCCGGTTCAACCTTTGGATACCCTACTCCGTTAGAGTTTTGCAATCTTTGTGATTTGTGTCCACTGGGGTATAAAAGCACTTTTCCCCATCTCCGGGATCCAGAATCGCTCTTTTTTACTACTTAACCTTATTCTGGGGAACTTTGGCTCCTCAGAACCTCGCCACTTTTTTTATACTATTTTCTTTATTCAACTTTAATTATTGTATATAGTCATAAGTGCATATATATATATATATATACATGTGTATATAACTAGGTGTTTCGATACCTGCACACACACGCACACACACACATACACACACACATACACACAGGGCACGCACACTAGTCTAACTTGTTAACTTTTAAGGTCGCAGTAGTGCTGTGCGCTGTTGATAAAAGTGAATATAAATATATATTGGGGTAATATCTGTGAAAATATCTGAAAATAATGAAAACTACAAAAAAACAGCTCCTATTTTAGGAGCATTTTCAGGCGACCAAGTGTTTCGTATCGCTATAGCGGCGTCAGCAGTACATTGGCATCAGCAACCAGCGATCGAGCTGGTCTACCACCAAAAGGACAGTCGTCGAGTACCTCGCATGCTTCCAAATACCAGCGTACATCCTATTATCCGACAACTCGTGTTGGTTATTCGCCCCAGTCCTATGTCACAACCACATTTGGATATGGCAGTAGCAGTGCTGCACCCTCGTCAGCAACCTCAACAACTCTGCGATCACGTTCGTCGAGCTCTGTTGTACGAAGGTACAAAATTTTTTGCTTATAAAACTCCAAAATCCTGCCTTCTATAGTCTCTTTTTTACACTCATTTCCTTCCCTTCTTTCTTCATCTTCCTCAGGTAATCAATACGTTACTGGCGAAATGCATGGCGAAATGGGACGCTGTACTGATGATTCCCACCTCGTTTCACACCGATTCTCCCATCAGTGTTTACAGCTCGGGGATGAAACATAGACAGGCTATAAAGTTAAAGTACAGACAGGCTCTTTTTTTGCATTTACACTCATTTCCTTTCTTTGTTCCTTCATCTTCCTCATGTAATCAACACGTTCTTTTTAACATGGCGAAATGGGACGCTGTACTGATGATTCCCACCCCGTTTCACACCGATTTTGCCATCTGTGTTTACAGCTCAGGGATGAAACATAGACAGTTTACCAAGTTGCAGTACATACAGCTTTGCCGGTATAGGAGATCTAAGTGGCACTACTTCTAGTGTTTTCATTAATTATCAAAATACGATTGTATTTTTCCACACGGTGGGCCAGCAACGTCAAACATATTGCATATTTTAGTGCATAAACGATTCCAGGCTCCCGTCCTCTTCCAATCCTCCTAGCCAGAGATATTCATTGTTTGTATCTGTAAAACTTCTAGAATACTTGTGTATAAACACTTTTGTTATGTGCTTGTCCTACGTGTCGTTTTTTGTAGCGCAGATGTTCGTGCGCGTGAAGTATCATGTCCAGATAATCAGAAAAGTTTGAGGTTAGTGAATAAGCTTAGACGAAAGAAAGTATAAGGTACCTACCCCATCATGGTCTGGAAGTAGCAAAAAGAAAAGGATATTCTTGATTGGGATGACCGAAATAGCTGTAATTCGTAGTTTGATTTTCGAATTATACAACTGGTGGCTTTTTTATTTGCTTTGACCAATGCTGCATTGCCTGGTGGTCACCTGCTGGCGATCTTGGCGTTCGTTTTATCTCCTGAAAGAATCCAGAGCTGAACGGTTTTCACAGGAGAAGGGCTGATCGAAAACCTCCAGTTTTTCACTAATTATCAAAATTCGATTGTGTTCCCTCTCCATGATGGGCCAACAATGCCAGACAAACTGCATATGTTAACACGTGAACGATTTGAGGCCCTCTGCCCTCTTCCAATCTCCGAGCCAGAGATATTCATTGTTTGTATCTTTAAAATTTCTTCACAACACTTTTAGAGGTTTTGAGATTTCTTTGATGTTTTTTTTTCGCCGTTTTATTGAGATTTCATACGCTGCTATAATTTTTTTGGTTAAATAAGTAATGGTTGGTGTTCAGATCGACATCGTCATCGTCATTTTCGTCGGCATCGGCCTCCTCAGCCTCATCGTATATCGTCTCGCAGGCCTCCTCATACGACAATACGAATACGACATATGTTGCACTGAAACCAACCGTTCCACCAACACCTCCTCCAGTGAATCGTCCCACTGCAAAGGTAACACTCACCCATCATTTTTCCCAGGATTTCAACATTTTTGGAAAAATTTCACAAATTTTGCATCCAAAATTTCATAATTTGACATAAAAAATGATAGAGTAAATTCTATGTAACACTGAGAGCATCGCATACCGAGTAGATTGGTGCCTGTAATTTTATATATAATTTTATAATTATAAATGATAATCACGATTATCTTTATCATTAATCATAATCGTCTTTCAAATTATATCATAATTGTAAGTGATATAATTTTACAGATAATTATGATTAAAGGTGTGGTATAATTTGAAATTAATTGATATAATTATGATGTAATTTTAAT